AGTTTTCCACGTAAAAATCTCTATTGCATCTTTTAGGTCCTTCAGTTTATCTTTCTGTTCCTTTAACTTACTTAGTTTTAATTCCGTAAAAAGTTTGGCTAAACTCTCATACTACAATTCAACCCCCCTTCTTGTAGTATTCATTGACACAACAATTTTGTTTTAAATAATAGACTCAAAAGGGATCAACAAAAGCAACAAAATAACACTTCATTACATTGGAAGATACATATATAAGTTGGGCAAGAATAATCAAAAGTTAGGAATATTTAAAGAAAATCGGTCAAAATTAGGATTATAAAAATATATTTTTTTTCCTTATTAAAATTAAAGATGGGCACGGGTCGTGCCGGTATGCGGGCGGCACGGGTCCGGCTCCATTCTGGCACGGCAACCCACCTGTGGGCCGTGCCGTGAACAAAAATCTGGGAATCGGCACGGGCACGGCACAAGGCATGGTGGGCGGCGCGGTGGCCGGCACGACACTCATATTTTTTTTATTATATGTATTGTTGTTTTTTGCTAAATCAATAAAATTATTTATATAAACTTAAACATAATTAGATAAATAATTTATATAACCTATTAACCTTAATTAAAATAAAGTTGTTCAAAACAAAATATATTAACATTAACATAAACATATATTAATAACATTATTTATATAAAATTAAGTTGTTCTAATATATATATATATATATATATATATATCATTTTTTATTTACATTTATTATTATTAAAAAAAAGTGGACGGTTTGGCCCGCGGCCCGGCACGGCACGACCTGCATGGCACATGGGTCGTGCCGTGTCGTGGGCTGGGGTGTGCCAAATTTAGGCACGGCACGGCACGCCCACCACCGCGGCACGGCACGGCCCGCGGCGGCACGGCACGGCCCGCGGCGGCACGGCACGGCCCGCGGCGGCACGGCACGGCCCGCGGCGGCACGGCACGGCCCGCGGCGGCACGGCACGGCCCGCGGCGGCACGGCACGGCCCGCGGCGGCACGGCACGGCCCGCGGCGGCACGGCACGACCCTGCCCATCTTTAATTAAAATAAAGGTAGATATGGAAGTTTAAATTTTAATGGAATTTAAGTTGTTCTGCAATAATGCAATAATTCAATATGCATTTATCACCACCAATCTGTAAAATCAGTAACTTTAATAAAATTGAATTTAATAAAATAATTTCAATTGAGAATAATGATATAAAGTCTTATATGTAATTTGGCCACACCGTGTGGCCAGATGAGATATCGTGTAATATGCATATTTTTAGAGTCTTTTTAGGTAGTTTTCGAGTAGTTGTTCATGGCATATTTTGGCTTGATTTGGTTTAGTTGTGATCATACGATGCTTTTATGGGTATATTCGTTGTTTTTGATGTATTTTAGGTTTTAACGAAGATTTTTGGAGGTTTTAGGAAGTTGCGGATCGTGATCATAGCTTGCAATTCACCAAGAAAGCCAAAGTTTGAAGTTGAATTCATTTAAGGGTAATCTCCAGCTAGACACGCCCATGTCACTCAGAGACATGGGCATGTCAGTGTTTTTTGAGAAGGCAGAAAGTTGGAAGTTGAAGTTTCATTTGAGGCACGCCCATGTCAAGCGGGATGTTTCTAGCTAGCTTATATGTGCTAAGGGAAGCATGGTCGTGTTGAATGCGGGCATGCCCATGCCTCATTGAGTGAAGTTGGCCCAGCGAGACACGCCCATGCCAATATGAGACACGCCCGTGTCTTTATGAGTGTCGTAGCTGTTTTGAGATTCCAGCGAGACACGCCCATGTTAGAATTTGACATGCCCATGTCTTGCTGGAAATTGAAGAACAAATGTTTCTGACTTTAGGGACGGGCATGTCTTGTGTGACACGCCCATGCCTGGTCAATTTAGGTCGGTTTAGTTCGATTTCTTTCCTTTATTAATCCTATCTTTTAGCCTTATTATAAATACTCTTGAGGATTATATTTCCATTATCTATCATCTTAGAACCCTAGTTTTCTCTCTAGACTTTTTTTTTTTTATTGTAATTCAAGATTATGCACTCAAGATTCTTCATTTATCTCTCGTAATTCATGATTTTGTATTTTCTTATTCTCTTTAATTCCTTTTATTATTAATTATGTTTTCTTTAATTCTTGTTATTGTTTTCATTAATATGTGTGAGTAGTTTCCTTATTCTAAGATCTAGCAAAACCCGAATATGATTAATGCATGATTTAATTCTTTAAATTCTCTAATGATAATTGCAATTGATATGCTTAATTGGTTGTGTTCATGCCAATACTAGATTAGGGATAATTAGTATTAGGAATGACAACGGATCGGATTCGGGTAGGATGTGGCTAAATCCGAATATGATCCGTTTAGTAAACAGATCCTGGACTCGGATCCGAATCCGAGTCCGAATCCGTAAAATCCGAGTCCGAATCCGATCCGACTCGTAATTTTCGAATCCGAATCCGGTTCGTTTATTCGGACCTCCGAAATAGTCCGAATATTTATTTTTATTTTTATTTTTTTGTAATGTCATATACCTATAATTGCTTGTTTTGTCATACCAATTAAAGTATAAACATAACATATTTAAATTATAAACTAAGTTACATAACAAAATTTTGCTACAAAACAAGCAAATAATTGTCCCAAGTTATAGAGCATATGCTTATACTCTCGGATTCGGACTCGGATCGGACTCCGTCGGACTTTGCGTAGGGTCCAAGTCCGATCCACCTCCTATTCGGATTCAGATCTATTTTATCATATTCGGATTCGAATCGAACTCGGATTAAATTGCCATCCCTAATTAGTATTGTTATTAATCCATTGTTTTAATCGCAACGGGAGTTGGGTTTTGACGGGTTTGAATAAATCAATTAAGGGTTTGAAGTTCATCACGAGGGTAGTTGAATGGATGATTAGAAAGTTAGAGTAATGTGCTCAAAGTCTTTAATTTACATGATTCCATGGAAGTAGGCTTTATTGTGATTAAGAAAGCCATTGATAACTCGATAGAGACCATTGATACTATTCAAAATTACTTTTCCTCATTAATCAATTGAATTATATGTTAGGGGTAGAACGACTATTGCATTAATTGTATTTGTGGTGGTGCTTGATCTTGGATGTTTTTAGCATTGATTTGTCATATTACTTAGATTTAATCGTTTTAATTAGTTCTTTAGTTATTGATTCTCACTACCTACTTTGGTTACTTGCTTAGTATTTGTTTGAGTCTATTTAATTAGTTGAACCATAGTCTCTTAGGATCCGACCCAAACTTGCCCATCTACATAGTAGTGGTCTTGTTAGGTTATTTTTGTTAGGTACATGATACGCCTATCACCAGACATAATAGAGTTACATCGTTACTGTTACATGATTGAGTTACTCGTCAGGGTTACAAGGGTTACTTCATCAACTGTTATAAGGGTTATTCAGTTAGTATTATAGGGTACTCAGTCATTATTATAGGGTACTTAATCATTATTACAAGGATTTGGATTAATATGATGTGCTCAGCCGCATACAAGATATGGGTGAGCACGGGACGGGTACCCGTACTGTTATACTAACGGTTCAAGTACCCGATAACCAATATCACTAAAAGTGATTTCCATAAACTGAACCGATAAGTTCGGGTACCCGAATTTTTGGATCGGCTATCGGGTACCCAATAAGGTATCCAATAGTGATAATTAAACTTAATAAATTAGTTATTATGATATTTTTTAACACTAATTAACAACAATACCACATGATGTTTACCAAATTATTAATAATATTACTAATCATTGATATTATATAGTGATTATAAAGTAAAGTAAGAGTTTAAATATTGGAAAAATATATTTAAGTAGAAAAAGACAAACAAAAAGTTGCTTATCGGATCGGAACGGATAACCGTTAATTTTAAAATGATACCCAAAAGCCATACCCGATAACAAGTTATCGGAACGAGTACCCAAACCGTTGTGGTTATTGGATCGGGTACCCTAATTTTCAAAACGGTAACACGGAACATGTTTTTGGTTTTTCGGGTAGCTTTGCTCGGCCCTAATACAAGACACATCGGAAAAATTTACGGGGCGTTTGGTAGGAAGGATGTGATTAAGTGGGATAGGAAGGTGGGATAAGAAGGTGGAATAAAAAGGTGGGATAAGGATAAAAATAGTGTATTCCATTGTTTGGTATGGATTAAGACTAAATTGGAATAACTAATAAAAATACAAAATTACCCTTAGTATCTTTTCTTCATTCTCTTCTTCTTTCTCTTTAATTAAGGATATAAATGTCTTTTACCCATTAAATTAATCCCCATCCCTTATATATACCACCCCCTTAGTTATTAATTTGGAGAAATAACTCCTTTTTTTATATCCCCTCGTAATCCATCATAATCCACATCCCTTTAAACAGACAAAAGACTTCTTAAATTCCACCTTTTCTATCATATTCCCTTTTTTATCCCTCAAAACAAACACCTTCTTAAGGTAAATAAGGGTAAAAATAAAATGAAAATAAATACGGAGTATGTCATTCAACTTAGAGCTTGTTCACATTTACTGAACTGAGCTAAACTGAACTAAATTGAACTGATTGGAGCTAAACTGAACTGAAATGAGCAAATAAATATTTTATGTGAGAAGAAAATTAGGAGCTAAATTGAAATGAACTGAATTGATTAGAGCTGAACTGAAATTAAGTAAATATGAACAGACCCTTATTTCGTACTCCGTACGAGGGTGTTTGGTATTGCATTTTTCAATCAAAGAAACAGATTCATGTAACAATTGTTGTTACTTGCTGTTTGGTTTGTGATGTAGGGAAACAAATACCATTACTTTGTGGTAACAAATAACTCCAATTCCTTTCCGCTCAAACACCCAAGGAAACAATTACCATTTCCAACAAAGCTAGCTCTCCTACTTCAATAAATAAATAATAATAATACCAAACAATAAATAAAAGTAACACTTTTGATTACCGTTTCCCCTTCTTATCAACATCCTTTCCATTACATTTCCATATTTCTTACCAAACACCCCCTAAGGCCCTAAATGTGAATGGACGGTCGCCGATGATGTTATTAGATCAGACGGTTGATACTGTATACGTCACTAAACTTCATTCTATGTTTGCATTTTTTTTTTTATCTCTTTAAAGCTTTTCATTTTACGCTGCAATTTCTCTCTCCTCCATTGAAGCGTACTCTTCAGTTCTCCATTGAAGCGGCTTCTGAGCTATCTCTCCTCCATTGAAGCGGCTTCTAAGTTATGATGTTTTCTCTTATCTTTTAATCACTCAGTATAAACTTTACAATTCAGGGTTCAATTTCTCACTTTCGGCAATTTAATTGTCATTATTGTGAATTTAGGGTTCTTCTAAGGTTGATTTTTGAACTATCGTCTATAATTACCGAAGTTATGAAAGCTTTTGATGTGCAATTTTGTTGCTAGAATTTTGCTATGTGCAGTTTTTGTCATTTCTTAAGCTAGAAGAAGTTTATGTGATTTTTTGAGCCTAAATTGATAATTGAGTCAAATTTGGTTGCTAATGTGCTGCGTTTTTTGAGCCTACGAGCCGAACTGAACTAATTGAGCGTGAGCTTGAACCTAGTTTGATATTCGAGTAGCATTGGGAAAGAGTAGTTATTTTTGTATACATGTTCCGTATATTAGTGATTAGACATTAGTTGTAGGTTTGGGCAATGTAGATAATAGTATGTTGCTTACTGACTGAAGGAAAAGCTTTGGTATAGTTACAGTAGCAATTTGAGGTAGATGATGAATACTTATTCTCTTTGGAAGTCGGGTATAAAGTGGTAAAATTAAATAAAGATCATGATATTAGATACTATTAAGTTGTTGGCCTTTGGTATCTAAGATATCATGGTACATACTCCCTTAGGCCTTAGCCCCTATATTGGATCTTAGCTCTTTTGTTGGTACATATTCTCTTGGTAAATAAATTGTATACTCTTGCAATGGAGATTAATGTGAACATATAATATGGAAGTGGCAAGTGGGTGGGGAGGAGAAAGAGTGCATGTAAGAAAAATGTTTACGTAGAACTGATTGTGGCACAATTTGAGAGGTTAAAATATGAGAAGTTCTAAGGCGAAGCAAGTCGAGAGATGAAATTATAAACGACAGGTGCAACCGTGCCACATACTTTAGGATATCCAAACTCCAAAGTAAAAAATATAGCGATGTAATTTATTTTTTTTTGGGATGGAGGGAGTAATATATTGTAGAGACTGGATTTATGATGTTAGATAGATAGATATTGAGACAATTTTGAGGAGTGGTATATTTTGCTAGTGTTTGGTTCGAGTCAAGGCAAAAGCAATGTATTTTACACGTGATTAATTGATCAAGTTCTCATCTTCTCAATGTTGGACTATTGTCCCTTCAACTGCTTATTATTTTCTTTTGAGGGAGAGGGTGTGGGGTGCTTGGTTGGGATTCAGTCTATATTTTCTATGTATGATGTTGCAATTAACCACTTGCAAGTTGCAGCTTGGGCACTACTCTTTGTGAGCTTTTGGCAAGTCAAATGGCCATTTCACCTTGTGGAACCACATGGGGAGTTCAGTGGGGTGTTCGCCCCCTACTTATGTCAAGTCATTCGGTGGAAAGTAAATTTGCAACCATTTCAAGTTGGTGAGAATTCAGCACATTCTCTTTATTAAGCTCATGTCTCAACAATTTCCCTTGAAGTTACACACTTACACCAAGAATCTTAAGTATGTTGAATGACCAATGCCTACTTTATAAATTTGATATTTCCTTACACAATTTTAAATTTTTTTAAGTGTTCGTTGTTGCCTAAGCATCAATAATTTCACATCATGTACCTGAATTGAACATATAATTTATTTGATTCATAAGTTACACACTTTGGCTTTGTTTCATTCATCTTATTTTATCAGTATGAAGTTAACTGAACTAGTTTAGTTTGACAAAAAATAATTTATTGTCTTAAAATGTCCTACTTGACTATGATATTGTTTGGAAAAAATTGTCTATTTTTTTTTCTTTGTATAAAAACTGTTTGAACTTATCGGAATAAGTTAACATGAGTTGAATAGAACGGGGCCTTACTCACTAATTCTTATTGACAGAGGCTAAGACACATGCCTTTTGGATACAAGATGCACCATTTTAGTTGATTTTTTTTTTATTTCTCTCGTATTTAATTATTGGTAAGGAATAAAAACCCAACTTATACTTGTCATAAACTCACAGCAGGGGTGAAACAGTAATTACAATAAAAAATGTGAAGGGGGGGAGGAGGGTGAGAGAAGGGGGGGTGGGGGGTGGGGGAGAGGAAGGACTGAGGAGGGGTTCACAACCTTATTGACTACTTTAGTGACTGGCTCACCACTTCAGAAGGTGCGGGGAAGTGGGGAGCCTATCTAGATGAGGGTGACTGAATGAGAAAATTAAAGACAGGTGCTCTTTAAATGGTGGTATAGCTTTCATATTGATAAACAAGTAAATTTAAAGAGTGGGAATGACTGGAACTGAAAGACAAATCAAAGAGAGAAAGATAAATTGAATAGAGAGAAATACAAACCGAAGAGAAGATATGAGAGAGAAAAAGAGTGGAGAATAAGAAATCACATACCGTATATCAACAACAATTGGCAAAAAAATTATTATTGAAAATTTTATCAGGGATTTGGGGTTATCTTAGACTAATCCTAAACCATGGTAGGTAAGTAAGTCACATGAGAAATCTTAGACGTACCTTGAGGATGGATGTGGACCCACTTTTAAAAAAGATCTTTGGCATTTTACTTATTTTGAATCGTCCTTGCTTTCTTTACATCCTTTTATAAACCCAATAAGTCATTCCATCTCTTTGTTGCCTTTGATATTTGAGAGGTACCAATTGTTTACACCCTTTATGGTACTTCCTTTGTTTCGATTCAATTGCACTACTTTAAAAGGCACATTGTTTAATAAATAGGAAACAAAATGTTAAACATGTGACGCTACCCTTGTATGGTTGTGCAAAGAGATGTGAGTGGGGTCATGAAACGAAATTTGAAGGGTAATATAGTCTCTCGTCATAATATACTTACCGAATAAGGAGATAGTGCAATTATTATGACATTTCCTAAAAATACAGATTAATATTGTCAACAAATGTAAATAGGTGAGCATAATTACTTTCACCTTTAAAAATACATTCCTCTTGTGCAGAGAGTGTCAATTTTTAGTACCATTTCCTTTAACCAAGCTTCTTTTGAGCATGCATATTGTGTTTCCTTGCTTGGAACTTGAATTCATTTAGTTTCATATTTATCTCTTCATCTAGATTACCATGTAGAATTGCGGTATATTCTAATGAGAAAATATAGCCAACAAGGCAACAACATCCAAATAGTGGCAAGCTTCACACTATCTAACTAGCTTTATACGCGGAGCACCAACATAAGCCTATTGTTGTGGCCTGTGGGGCAAGTACAATCCCATCGAGGAATAAGAACGTTATCTTTTGAAATTCCCTCCAACTCTACTAACTCCTCTTCAAACTCCATATTTTTTTTATCACCATAGTCCGCATACAATTTTTCTCTCATTAAAAGCAACATTGTAGTGTCTCAAAAATTTTCTTCCTCTTGGTTTCTAAAAACGATACATACATTTTTTCTAACAATATCCTATAAGGTAGCTTTTTTTTACCTTTGGGTTTTTATCCTCACAAAATTATTTTTGAAGCAACATAATCAATTTCTTTTTATTGATTTACTACTTTTCCATTCCATTACACTTTTATTACTGAAATCCATTTGTTTACCCGTCTAATAAGATGTGTTAGGCCATTATTTCCTCGCATTCCCATTTCGTTGTAAACACAAATTTCAAATCTGCAAAATATAGATTCAAAATAAATGCAACAAAGTGTTAATTTTATTAATTTGATAATATTGGGTACAATCTCTAATTTTGTCCTCTGATTCGATCTCCACTTTGACTTTGACGTAATTCACGAATTGGCTTGATTCTCGAACGAGGGCCGTGTGAGGCTTGATCTCGATTGAAGATTTGATGCAAAACTTTGACTTATTGTTGATGTAGATCTTTGCCTTATTTTTGATGTAGACCTTTAACTTGAATTTTGATTGAGGGCTTGCGAGGCTTGATCTCAATCAATGACTATTTGATGTAGAGGTTGAACAAATGTTCTTGATGATTTAAATTCCTTCTTTCTTTTGTGTCGAGGGCCGTCAAGGCTTGAACTCTTCCATGGGTGATCTTCTAGAGTAGAACGGCACGTTGAATGCTTGTTGTTCTTCTAGGTTTGAGAGGTTTTTTTTTTATTTTTTTTTTATTTTTTTTAGGGGTTTAGAGTATTTGATGAGAGGTTTTCTCTGGCGAGGTTTTGAACATTTGAGAGGTTTTCTCTGTATTTTGATTCTCTTTGTTTACTCTAGGTTTTTCCCCCTCTCAAATGAAATAGAAAGAGTGAGACACCCCTAAAGTTGGGGTTAAATATGTATTGGGCTTTTGACTTGTAAATTTGTAATCATGCATGACCCATTTACAATAGCTTAACCCATTTAAGTAGGTTTATACTATCAAATAAACAATTTTAATTAAAATAACTAAAGTGGGCTAATTTAATTTATCCACCCAATTTAATTAATTTAACGGCTATTTCACCAAATGCCACTGAGTAATTTAAAAATTCACCAAATGCCATCGGACTTTTCAGAATTCACCAAATGCCACTGAGTTTTTAAAAAATTCACCGAGTGCCATTAATGACTAACGGCAGTTAACTCCGTTAGTCATTAAGGCTAATTATGCCACGTGGTGTATTCTAATTGGTTCACTTTATTATTATTATTTTATTTATCAAAAAAAATTAAAAACAGAAGTTTTCAAAAAATAAAAAAAAATAAAAAAAATTAAAATCAGAAACAAAAAAAAAAAACTAAACCCCAGCCACTCTTCCCACCGCACCACGACACCACCGCCCCTACGCCAGCCCAACCCCTTGCCCCCACCCCCACCGATGACCAACATCCTCTTTGGTGTCGGCGGCCACCCTTCCCCCTACCCCTACCATCTCCATCCACTTCCCTCCCTTAAACCACCATCCTCGACACCCTAAAACCCCAAAATTGAAATCTCCAAAATCGAAACCCTAAATTTCGATTTTGGGGTTTAAGTGAGGTGGTTCAGGGGGTGGACATGGGAGGGGAAGGGCTGGTTTGGGTTCGCCGGAGCGGGGAAGGGGCTTCGAATTAAGGGAAATCGATATTGGGGGTTTAAGGTGTCGAAACCCTAGATTTCGATTTTTGGGGTTTTTAATTAAGGGATCCGACGTGATGGTTGAAAGGGTGGAGCTCGGAGGGGATGAACTGATTTGGGTTCTCCGGCGTGGGGGGGGGGAGTTTGGTCATCGGCGGTGGGGAGGGGAGGGATTATCGAGGGAGAAAGAGAGTTTGTGAATCGCGGCTGGGTTGCGTCGTCGGCATGGGTTGGCTAGGCTGGGTTGCGTCGTCGGCGTGGGTTAACTAGGCTGGGTTGCGTCGTCGGCGAGGCTGGGTTGCGTCGTTGGCGCGGGTTAGCTAGTGTTGCGTCGTCGCCGGTGCGGTTGTTCAGGGCTGGGTTGCGCCGCGGTGGGGACTGGCTGGAGGCGGAGATATGGTGGTGGCAGTGACAGACGGTGGTTGGGGCTGGGTCATGGTGGGTGTTTTTTTTTTTTTTTTTTAAGTTTTTTATTAAGTAATTAATTTACTAATTTAATAAGCAACCAATTAGAATACACCACGTGGCATAATTAGCCTTAATGACTAACGGAGTTAACTGCCGTTAGTCATTAATGGCACTCGGTGAATTTTTTAAAAACTCAGTGGCATTCGGTGAATTCTGAAAAGTCCGATGGCATTTGGTGAATTTTTAAATTACTCAGTGGCATTTGGTGAAATAGCCGTTAATTTAATTAATAGTCAAATTAGCACAAGTCAATAAATTGACTTTGACTTATCCAACGTGACACTTTAGTTAAAATTTTCATGCCTACAATCGTTATATTTGTTTCCTATTAATCCTCTCAATGGTTTTCCATTATGTTGATGTAAGGTTCTCTTGGAGTGGTCCTCTTTAAACTGATTTTGTATTTCTTACCCCGTTATTATACTTAATGCGCCTAATTTAATCTTATCAATTTTATTCTCGACTTCTACTGATCACTTTTGAAGGTATCACAAACCTTGCACTTATGCTTAATCAAATAAATTCACACTTTCCTACTGTTAGATGATGCAAGCCTCCTTTCTTAAAGAAGGCTGTCAAACATTAGTGGGCACCAACTCTAATTTCCCAGCCTTCGACTCTTTATTGGCTTTAGTGAGTGTTACCCTTTGACTCTTTTCAAATAAATGTATCGCTAAATAACAATAACACATACAATGTGTTTTTTTTCCCTTAATTAATACTCCCATCCGTCCCTAAATAGTCCTATATACCTTTAGTCATATACACACTTATTTAGGTAATAATTTTAAAAAACAAAAGATGGTGGTGTTTGGTTGATTAAAGATGAATATAAAATAGAATATAGCGGGGTTTGATTGATTAAAGTTTTTAAAAAATGTGCGCCAATATCAATCAACCACCCAAACACTTGTCTATCAACTTTTTATTGTCAGGTTGATACACCTTTTGGTACAGCCGTACAGGTAGGTAGTCCTTAACTTGCATCTTACAAAAGGCATAATCTTTCCCATTGAACTTCTCAATCTTTGCATTTGCATCCATTGTTGATTATTTCTGAATTTAGACATTTCACATCCTTAATTGTTGATTGTTTCTAAATTTAGACTTTTATTTGACTGATACCACTTGTAGAGAGCGGTTGATAATGCAATCTATCAAATAACAATCAAACAATAGTATATTCAACAAAATGATCAAAGGAAACGATTGAATGAAGGGACAAAGGGTTTAATGTGAAAAAAAAATCTCTTTGTCATAAAAGAGTAGAAAACCACAAACGTGCTCTAGAAGTGTAAGATGTTTAATAATGGTGTACAAATGCTCTCTAAATCTTTCAAAAGCTCTTTTTTGTTGTCTCTCTCTCTCTCTCTCTCTCTCTCTCTCTCTCTCTCTCTCTCTCTCTCTCTCTCCTAACATGAGAAGAATACTCTAGTTATGGCAATAATAGTTTATTATGTAAGTCTAACATTCTAATGTTGCGTTAAATAGGTAGGATATGTTGCTTATGCGGTCGTTTGAGATAGAGTTAGACTAATGGAGCAACTTGCACTCCAAGCAGATTCCTCCTTAAGCAAGCCAAAATCCTCTCGGCGAGTGAATTCCCAAATTTAGTTAATCTTCCCAGTATGAGTTGCATTTACTTGAGACGTCTTTCATGCTTAACCATGTCCACACACCAAACCTTTTCCTGTCTAATTAGATGGCCATTGAAATTTCATTGGACTTCAGACCATATTTTCGTTGCAAATGATAATAATGAGGTTTAGAATGAGTGCTCTTGCTTGTGCAGAAGAGTGAAAGAGGTAGTATATGTGACAGTATATGCTCGCAAATGGGAAAAGAACTATGGGCTGAAGAGCAGAAGCACCTTTCTTTTACTAATTTAGTTTTGAGAGGTAAAGGGGGGGGGGGGTAGTGAAGTAGTGATGGTGGTTTTGAGACACATTGAAGGAGGTCAAAGACTTTTGGGTGGAGGGAGTTAAGTTTGATACGAAGAAATTGGTTTATGGCTCTTGAAATTAGTAATGAAGGGGATCTCGTTGACAGCTACAAGTAATTGTTTGGACTTGGGCTCCATGATCAGATGCATTTGGTAATGATGATCATACAATCACTTATCACTCTAAATCCAAGTTTTTTTATTTTAAAATTTTTAATTCCGAAAAAAAAAACTCTTACATAGACCCCTATAGTGACCCTCATATATGGGTGCCTCAGGTTATAATATGTTTTTGCCTTTTTAGTTTGGTAGAAGTTGGGTAAAGGTGTGTGTATGTTTGTGTCTTATTCTCATTAATTTAACACGGGGCTTGATCTTATAATATTGTACTTAAATGTGGCACTTTGGCTGCTTTACTGTTGTGTTTGCAGTGGACCAAGCAAGATAAGAGCGTTTCAATCCCTGAGTTCCAGCTTTTTTTCCCCTGAACCGGTGCATTTAATATTTAATGTGAGTTCAGCTCGAAATCCATGCCATAAAAGGGGTTTCCGCTTCATCGTTAGAGCTGAGTCTGTGAGTATCTCATTCCACTTTCTATATGTCATACCTTATTTGTTACGAAGTATTGAATATCTGTTCATCTTTTTCATGAATGTAAGTACTCATACATTTGAATTCACAGGACTTCTATTCGATTCTAGGTGTATCACGAAATGCCAGCAAATCAGATATTAAAAGTGGTGAGTTGCAGTTTTGCATCATGACCTTAATGTTATCGTAGTTCGGTGTTCTCTTTGATACGAGAATTTCTCACTTTACTATGATACTCATTATATATAACAATTTGTGATATGTTAATCCCTTGGGTTTTAATAATATCATAGATGAGTCTTATCTGTACTGGAATTCTGCTTCCTATATTTTAATATTTCTTGCAAACTGTGAAATGTTATAATTTAAACCAAGGAGGATTTTATTGTCCTTTGCTGAAGTGGAGTAAATTTGCATTGTGCTATGTCTTGGCCAATCTGGAGTAGTCTAGTTAGGAGCAAAATTTAGTAGATGAAAAGTTAAATGAAGGATGTCAAAGAAGAAAAAAAAAGACAGAATGTCATGAAGCTATGTGCTATTTTTCTGTTTGTTTATGCAAATTATCTGAAGATATTAGCTTCTCTGTTCTCAAGAATGAAGCCAATGCCTTTGATCCTTATTTGACCCAGTCATGAGTTCCTGTTGGTCTTTCATTTCATTGGAATATTTTTTTTATTGAGATATTATATAATCCTGAAAGGATTTATATTCCCAATTTCATTTTGTATCCTATTCTGTTATGGCATTCATACCTCATGCTCATTTATCCGCTTTTTAGCTGAAGTGTTACATTTCTTGCCTTTAAGGAAATAATGTTATTTTGTGTTCAGCTTACCGGAAGCTTGCAAGGAGTTACCATCCTGATGTTAACAAGTGAGTTGTTTCTTCCCAACTTCTTTTTTGCACAATTTTTCTATCACTATTAATGCGGGTGATTTGATTTTCTTACTTTTTGAGTAACTATTCAGTATTTGATTTTTTCTGTATACTTTAGCTACTTAGGGTCATCTGTGTGTGTTGTTGTTGTTGTTTCTTTTTTTGTCCAATTAATTTTATCTATCACTTTTCACATGCATCATTATGGGTAGTTGAGGGAAGAGGTTCTACAGTTGTGCCCATAAAATTGTTTGAATGATTTTAATGGAAGTAAATTGGCTTTCATTTTAATGTTTTACGAGAAGCAACCTTGGTGATTACATTTCTTTCTGTGCACCTTCAGGCTCCCAGTTGAGCACTTGGTTGTTTATTTCAACTTCCTCTGTTGTGTTTGAGTTCTAGTTTCCTAATGGCCTGTTTGGTTTCAAGCATTTCATTTGAAATGCTGGATTTGGGCCATATAACAAGTTTGGGTAATGTTATAATTTGAATTTGTATTTGATTTAAATCCAGCCCTTAAAGAATTATACCCAATTTATCAAAATTTCAAATTCCATCCCAAAACCTATCATTTCAAACTCTTACTTTCTTAGGAAAAAAAAACCGACTTTTCTCTCTCCTAGGGTTAGACCCGATTTCCCCCCTTTTGATTTTCTCTCTCCTCAGCTTGATTTCTCTCTCCTCCATTGAAGCATTTATGAGCTCTCTACTCCATTGAAGATTGATGTGGTTTTTCATACTCAAATTCTCCATTAAAGCAACAAGTGAGCTTTAATTTGTCTTCTCCATGAAAGTGTACTCTCAATTCTCCAAGGAAGCGTCTGAGCTTTTCTCTCTCCTCCACTGAAGTGGCGTATGGGCTTTCTCTCTCTTCCATTGAAACGGCGTGTAAGTTCTCTCTCTCTTCCATTGAAACGGTGTGTGAGCTTGATCTCTCCTTTACTGAACCGACTATCACTCCTCCATTGAAGAAGCTTTTGAGCTTTCTCTTGTCCTCCATTGAATCAGCTTTAATTTCCTGATGATATTGATTAATTTGACAGCTTTTTGGTCGAAATTATCAATTGTATATTTTAATTTTTCCCTAATTAATTTTCAGATTTTTCGATTAAATTTTTAATTACTGATTATAATTTCCTCAATTTTTAGTTAAATGTTGATTACTTGTTTAGCTAATTTTTTTTTTCTACTTGTTTTATTTAATTAATTATCTATCATGACTCATGAGTATTGATTAAGTAGTTGTAATTTTTTATCTTAATGAAAATCTTATTTGCTTAATTCAAAATTTCACTCATCTCCAAATATAAGTTAGAATTTGAAATTTTGGAATTGAAATTCTAATGTTTCCCAAATACCCAACAATGGAATTGAATATCATGATTTCAATTTCTGAAATTCAATTCCAACATTTGAAATGAATATCATATTTCCAAACACAACCTAAAGGCTTTCAGCAATTTATTTTAGCCAGCCTCCTGAAGTCTCAATGAGAAAATATAATTTGGCATTACTTCTAGAATAGGTGAAGGCAGCAATCTCCACCTCCTTTCTTACAGCATGGGAAATCTGCTGTTTAATTTGGATCGTGCTGTCCGCCTGTCCTTTCAGATTTGTAATCAGTCGGTTACTATTGAGTCTGCTTAAACGAAAGTAAATTAGAAATACAAATAGGCACAATAGAATGGCAGTATGAAGCAGGGGATGGGTCTAGATAAAAAATTACTTCGTATATAATATCAGCAAGAGAAACTACCCATTAGACAAACTAGGAGCATATAGGTACATTAGAGTAATTGCTACCTAGTTTGTTCTGAATTCTTATTATTTTTGGCACTTGGCCTTTCATTGGGGAGTACTGGAACTTGTAAGTTTATAGGCAAAGGTGTAACACTGGACTTGTGATAGGATGGTGATGTCCATTTGAGATGGCCTACTCAGTGCAAGTGAAGAACTGTACTTGCTGAAATAGTGAGATACGATGAGTTAGGATTTTGAAGCATCCTTGAATGTCTTATTAAACATTTAAGTTTGGTAGTTAGCACATTGGATCTGATTACCTCCTGATTTGTGTAAAAACGTCACATAATGTCTTATTAAACATTTAAGTTTGTTAGTTAGCACATTGGAGCTGATTGCCTCCTTATTTGTGTAAAAAGGTCTCATACTCTGGCATTTGGGCTTTCATTGAGAAGTGCAGTATCTTGTGAGTTTGAAGGTGTTATACTATACAAGACCTCTGATAGCAGTGTCTCACTAAGAAAGTCAGCTTGACACAACTGAAGAATGGGACATACTAGTTTGAACTTTGAAGAAATCTTAAATGTCTTTCTAAATGATTTGGGGTTTATCCTTGAGAAGAAGATAATATATTGGCAAGCTCTTCTAATGGCTGTTTGACCTTATCATAGTTTGGACATAGAGCTGTACTGCTGCTGCTGATGTATAATTTACATGACAAGACCACAGCTTCAATCCTTTTGATGCTGACATTTGTCACCGATCTTGTATTCCTATTAAACTCTGTTTTGCAAATGTCACATGCAACTGATGTTTTGTTTGCACTCCATATAGGGAAGCTATAAACACTTCCAGAAGTTGCATGTTGGGCACACATTTCCTTCTCTTACCTATGCTATTAATCATACACTGATTTGTGGATCATACCTTTTGTCATGTTCAGCTCTATGTTTCTCTTAATAAACTGTTTAGTCTCAAAATAGATATTTTTCTTACTCATTTCAGTTGTTCCTTTCTTTTGAGCTTATCTTGTACATGTGAGTTTTGTTTAAGTTTAACCTTGTTATCCTGCTTTATTTGTACTGTAGAGAGCCTGGAGCAGAGCAGAAATTCAAAGATATCAGCAATGCTTATGAGGTATGTATGATAACGTTAATTTCATTGTGCTGCCCTTCATTGTCAAGTTGTCTGGCTGTTGCACATTTTTTTAGCTCACTTGATTCTTGTCTTTAGGTTACTGTGATTTATAGTCTCCCACTTTATAAACTAAGTTGACAGGTAATAATATTTGTAGGTCTTGTCAGATGATGAGAAACGGTCTATATATGACAGATATGGGGAGGCTGGTCTTAAAGGAGCTGCAAGTGGCCCAGGGGTAAATGATCTTTTTAACTGTTTACTCCATTTATTTTTTGGTGGTTTTGAATTCTTGGTATTAAAGTTTTGCTGCTCTGAACAGGATTTCTCAAATCCCTTCGACCTATTCGAGTCTATATTTGACCTCGGTGGTATGGGAATGGGGGGAATGGGAGGACGAGGTGCTAGAAACAGGGCCACTGAAGGTGAAGATCAGGTTTACAATCTGGTGCTTAAATTCAAAGAAGCCATTTTTGGCATTGAGAAGGATATTGACATAAGTCGTCTGGAGACCTGTGGTACCTGCAATGGATCAGGTGCCAAACCTGGTACTCAGCCAACCAAATGCAGCACATGTGGTGGCCAAGGACAGGTCATCTCTGCAGCACGCACTCCCCTTGGTGTGTTCCAACAAGTTTCCACTTGCTCAGCCTGTGGCGGGACTGGGGAAAATTCTACTCCTTGTAATACCTGCAGTGGTGACGGACGGGTGAGAAAATCAAAGCGCATTAGCTTGAAAGTCCCAGCTGGTGTTGATGCTGGTAGTCGGCTGAGAGTTCGAGGAGAAGGTAATGCTGGAAGGAGAGGTGGGCCCCCTGGAGACCTCTTTGTTGCCATTGATGTCATCCCTGACCCTGTTTTGAAAAGGGATGATACAAATATTCTCTACTCCTGCAAAGTTTCTTACATTGATGCCATCCTTGGGACAACTATGAAGATCCCAACTGTGGATGGGTCAGTAGATATGAAAATACCACCGGGCACACAGCCCGGGACAACTTTGGTGATGGCTAAGAAAGGTGTGCCAATGTTGAACAAGCCCAACATTAGAGGGGATCAGCTGGTGAGAGTGCAAGTTGAAATTCCAAAACGTCTTAGTGATGACGAAAAGAAGCTTGTTGAGGAGCTTGCTAATTTAAATAAAGCCAAGGCTCCGAACAGTAAAAGATAGCCCAACTGATAAGTTATAAAACGTGTTCTATTGTGTTGATGGTGATTTTGCTCGACTTCCCCTCTCTGATTGATCTCATTAAGCTCTAAGCTGAAGTAGATGGAATAGGGATATTTCCCAAGGCGAATTTTGTTGTACGTATTATACGAATTTTTGAAGAAGGAATCAACTTAGGTATCTGTTCACATTTTCGCTGTTGTCACATCTTTTTGTTTCCAATTTTTTGACTTTGCTGAGAATATTGTATATTCATTGGTGCTATAGCCATTTAGAAACTGGTGTAAGGTTTTTTTTTTTTTTTTTTTTTTTTTTTTTTTTTTTTTTTTTTTTCAAACAGAAGCGAATATAGCAAAAGAAATTTTATCTGAGAATGATGAACAAGGCCTCTTCACTTTTTATTTTATACTTTTCAGTTTATCTTGGCACTTCATCTATTTCCAGAACTTAAAAATACTGCTCTTTAAGTTTTAAAACACCCCAATATGCTTCCCTTCAAGTCCCTTGAAAACCTGTAAAAACCAGAGATGAAATTGGATTGGGTTCGGGGCGGATGGACCATCACCCGCATCCATCCACCCCACCCGATCCATCCACCACCCGCTATAACATCCACTCGAATTTTATACTTTTTTTTAAATGCATCACTTTGATTTTTGCACGATTCACATACCATGGTTGACTTAATTTTTTCACCTCTATAAAATAAATAAATGTTATTATATAATATATCATTAGATACATCATAAGGTCTAGTTTCATAATATAATTTTATTATAATTTTTACTAATTAACAATTAAAGATATTAATGGTCAAATTGCGTCTCGACAAATGTGCCGATTAAACTGATGAAAAAAAAAAAAACCCAGAGGGAGTAGCTGTTTCAAAATAGGCAAGCCTCTTGGGATGAACCTAAACATCACATTAAGAGGAATGTGTCATGTGTGTACCTGGAGCCAAGGTGTATGTAGATCCTCAAACTGGTTTTGGGTTGGCCCGTGGTGGGTTGGTATTTATCATCGGCTAGGGTTGAAACGATTTAACTTGGTCAAATTGGTTAGAACATGTCACTATCATGATGAATTAAACACTTGATAAAGTGAGAATCGATCCCAGGATTCCTTAAACTGGGAGGGAAGCTCTAACCACTTGGGCTATTACTCACTCTCTACCTCCTGGCTTCTATAGTTCTATACCATAATGAGCTCGATTTTGTACAATGTAACATGTATAATTAACGATAAACTCTTGCTATGTTTCTAACGAATTTAACTACCCACAACCAAATATATGATCGTATGCAATCTCTACTATGGGCAGTGAGCTGTTGCCGCTCTCTTGTGAATTGCCAAGCAATCCATGCCGTAGTAATCAAATCCCAATTCATTAATAATGGCTTTATTGGTTATCGTTTAGTATCAATATATACGAGTTTGGGCTTCAACGATTATGCACGTAAGCTGTTCGATGAAATTCCTGACAAAGATTTGGTTTCTTGGAATTCATTCATTTCTGGGTTTTCTAAAAGGGGGATTCTTGCTTTATGCTTGAATGCGTTTCAACGCATGCGAAATGAAACAAACCTCAAGCCTAATGAGGTTACCCTGTTGTCGGTTATTTCGACTTGTACGGTTGATGGAGCTTTGTGTGAAGGGAAATGCTTTCATGGGTTTGGTGTAAAAATGGGATTTATGGAGGAAGTTAAGGTTGTTAATGCCTTGATTAACATGTATGGAAAGTTGGGTATGTTTGATGCAGCCTATGTATTGTTTAATAGCATGAAATTGCGCAGTTTGGTTACATGGAACTCCATTCTTGCTTTACATGCTCAACATGGGCATTCTGATGAAGTTGTGGGTTTATTTAACTTTATGAGAAGAGCTGGAGTTAAGCCTGATCAAGCTACTATGGTTGCTTTACTTCAAGGGTGCACTAAATTGGGGGTTGTCAAACAGGCAACAGTTGTTCATGCTTGTATATTCAAGTGTGGGTTTGAGAGTGATATGCTTGTTTCGACTTCTCTTATGAGCTTATATGCGAAATCAGGACAGTTGATTGCTGCGAACATTGTTTTTGGAGAGTTAACAAATCCAGATGCAGTAGCTTGGACGTCTATGCTTGCAAGTTATGCTATGCATGGGTGTGGGAGTGAAGCAATCAAGCTTTTTGAAAACATGGTTGATGGTGGAATTTGCCTTGATCATGTTACCTTCACTCATTTGTTAAGTGCTTGCAGCCATGCTGGTCTTATTTCCGAGGGAAGGAAATACTTTGAGGATATGTTCAGAGTCTATGGAGTTCAGCCTAGGATAGATCATTATTCATGCATCGTTGACTTACTAGGCCGTGCTGGGCTTCTTGAAGACGCTGTTAATCTGATTAGGAGCATGCCAATGGAGCCAAATTCTGGTGTTTGGGGTGCCCTTCTCGGTGCTTGTAGGATTCACAACAATGTAGAGTTGGGGAAGGAAGCAGCAGATAATTTATTTTTGTTAAACTCATCTGACCACCGAAATTATATCATGATGTCAAATATATATTCTGCCTCAGGTCACTGGAAAGATGCTTCCAAAATTAGGTCTATGATGAAAGGAAGGCGTTTGGTTGGGGACCCTGGATATAGTCTGATTGAACATGGAAACAGAGTTTATCAATTTGTAGTAGGGGATCAGTCTCATCCAAATTCGGACAAGATCTATGCAAAATTGGAAGAAATAGTCAGGAAAGTTCACGAAGCAGGGCTGGTGCGGCAAACAGAGTTCATCTTGCATGATGTTGAGGAGGAAGTAAAGATAGATATGATCAATAAGCACAGTGAGAAGTTAGCACTTGCTTTCGGTTTGCTGGTGACTAACACTAGCATTCCAATTACTATAATAAAGAACCTTAGAATCTGTGGTGACTGTCATTCCGTGATGAAGTTTGTGTCATTATCTGAGAAGCGTACTATTATTGTCCGGGATCCAAAACGGTTCCATCATTTTGCTGATGGGATGTGTTCTTGTAAGGATTATTGGTGATTATATTCCTTGGCTTCTGCAAATAGTTGCAACAGATGAGTTAGGTACTTACCAAGACCTGAAAGGATTTCCGTCAATTAATACATTAGAGTGAACATGATTTGTGCTCAACCGTGCAATAATACTCTTATTACTATCTCTGCCTTGTTAAAAGTTTGTCATGCGCCCTAGGTTATTCACATGGCTGTTTCTGTCATATTGAAGTCTGCACTAGCTTTTAATTCTAGAATGCAGTCCATGCCAAATACCAAGCTGATACAAGCACACTTTTTCTCAGGTCATACTACGGCACAGGTGCTCTTCAGATTGAGTATCACCTTGGACAATATGTTCTGCGTAAGCATTTACTTATTACCATCGTACCTATTATGCTTTCAGGGACTTGGAGATGACCATCAATGTTCAAGTCCTCTTCTCCATTAATATTGGAAACAGCAAACATCAAATCGAGATGCTGCTAGTAGTCATCTTAGCAACTAAACTAAGGAAAATTGAGTATCAAAAATGAATTAGAGCAGTTATATGGTCAAAAGAACTGGAAGGTTCTGTTAGATGCATTGAAGACTTCATCTTCATGAGCAAATTCCAAAATTTGAACAAAAGACACCAATGCAAAAAGGGAATTATGCATGAAAAATCAACTGTTTGTTCTCTATCTAAAATGAAAATTTATTAGGTAAATGAATGCCTTAATTACTTACAGATAACAGGAAAATTAGTTGTTGCGAGCAGGAAATGTCAAGACTGATGAGTAATGCAGCCACAAAGGTACAGGGTAAAACCAAAAAAGGATGAATGCAAGAATCATATGTCGAGCTGCATACATTAATGGTTTGAAATTTTTATTTGACATCATTAAAGACTACTCGCAACCTAAACAATAGAAGTACTTAAAAGTTTTCAGGAGTAAGTAATCCTGCCCTACAAGCAATAGCAGCATTTTGAGCTTGACGAAATTGAGATCTTGAGACCTTGTGCACACAACACCAATTCAACAGCAAAGCTTGACCTCTGATTTCCTGGATTGTCCATAATAGTGTAATGTCCAGTGGCATACTTCCCTGTAAAAGCTCTACCAGATTACGAGAACCAGTGTAGATGCTTACATTGTGTAATCGGTGTGTTGCTGCCCATTTGATACCATGTAAACAAGCCAAAGCATCCATCTGTAAGGCAGAGACTCCAGAGGTCTGCAAGCAGCTACCATGTATTGTCTGCAATCGATCATCCTTCATAATCCAGGCTGCCCCGCCTGTCATAGACCTTTTGTGCCATGAGCCAGCAATTTGCAAGACAGTATCAGCTTCTCCACATGGATTTCGCCCAATATTTGCTACTCGGGAATCCAGGCGTTGAGCTTCAGGAAGTTGGTACTGCATTACTGCATTCGATGCTTCTGCTAGGATACTGGCTGAATCATATGGCGAATTTCTGAACACCGCATCTCTTGCTGCAAAATGACCCTTTGAAACTGCTTGAAATAGTCTTAAGGACCCCATGTTGGACTCAATCTAGGGACAACACTCAATATTTGAATTGAACGCTTTCGCTCACAGTTCACTCCTGCTACATATATGAAAACCTTAATAATCCATTCTTACACAAAAAAATGGAGGAATTTGCATTCCAAAATAGAAAATGAATTCCAATCAACATATATGAAAAAAAAAAAAAAAAAAAAACAAAAAAAAAAAAAAAAACTCTACACTGAATTACCAACAAAATGGGAAATTGTATCTCACAAAGAACCTGCATATTATATAGTCAATCAACAATGTTTTGGGCAATTCTTCATTTGTTCTCCAGTTCATTCGTATTGATCACGAATTGTATCTCACAAAGAACCTGCATATTATATAGTCAATCAACAGTGTTTTGGGCAATTCTTCATTTGTTCTCCAGTTCATTCGTATTGATCACGAATTAAATTCAAAAAACTCTACACTGAATTACCAACAAAATGGGGAAATTAAATTCGTATTGATCACGAATTAAACGGACAATATGATTATTAATTCCGGACAGAGTACATTAAGCGAAATACAAAAAAAAATACACTAGGAACCCAATTTCAGTTGATAATTAATTCAACCATTACAAATTTAAAAGCAGAATAATAAGACGAGGTTGAAGTTTAATACAATAATAATCAAAATATGAGTAGCTAATAAAGTAATTAAACAAAAACCAAGAAAGCCGTACTTATATAGTTCTATTAAGTTAAAATGAGCAGCACAATTTTGCAAGTAATAACACGAAAATAAATATGAAACAAAAGAAAGATGAGGAATTAATATACATACAGTTGTTTCTCTGATAAATCGAGGTTTCTGAGTTAAGAGAAGGGAAATTCCAAGTATGAAACAAGCAGATCTTAATGTATTCCAAAGTTAATTAACCTAGATGAAGACAGGTTACCCATTGCCCAAGCCTAGAGCAGAGAATACTCTTTTTATTTTTCTGTTGAATAGTTTTTATAAGAGCAATTTTTTGGTGCACTGGGCCACACCAATACATTATGCGTCAAGGGTTACTTGTTTATTTTTATCAGGGATTAACCGAGTTTTTTTTTTTTTTTTTTTTTTTTTAAAGGGTTACCCGAGTGATTCAATTATGGGTTACTCGAGTTACTCACTTAGGGGTTATTTGAGAGGTTCGGACACAGGTTACTCGAGAGGTTCATTCGCTCAAGGGTTACTCGGTCAGAGGTTACTCAAGTTACTCGGTCAAGGATTACTCAAGGGGTTACTAGGTCATGAGTTACTCGAGTTACTCGGTCAGGGGTTATAAGAGTTCGATCAGGGGTTACTCGAGTAATTTGGTCAGGGGTTACTTAAGGAGTTTAGTCAGAGGTTACTCGATCAGGGGTTACTTGGGGTTATTCAGTCAGGGGTTACTTGAAAGGTTACTCGAGGAGTTCGGTCATGAATTACTCAAGGGGTGACTCGATCAGGGGTTATTTGAGGGTTACTCGGTCAGGAATAATAACTCAAGTAACCTGAGTAACCCAGAGAAGCTCAAATAACCCTAACCGAGTACCCCATGACCGAAAAACTCGAGTAACCCCTGATAGATAAACTCGAGTAACTCCTGCCGCACGGTACAACAGGGCGCATACAAAAAATTGTGTTTTATAATGTTTACGGTTATTTTTTCTTTACCTAAAATTTTGCAGAAATGAATGTATTTTTACCGAATTAAAAATAATTATAATGAATATTATTTTTTAAGGTGAAGAGAACAGTACAGGACGTACTACATGAACATGAGTACATCTTTCGTATTTTTTTAATATTCGATTATTATAACTTTTACTTAGCCTCTGTTCACTTCACCTTATTTTTACTGAAATGAAATTATTTTTACTGAAATAAAATTAATTTTTTTTTTACTGAACTTAAATTTTTTTTTTACTGAATTTAAATTAATTTTACTAAAATAAAATTATTTTTGCTGAACTGAAATTATTTTAACTGATTTTCTGTTATAATTTCTTCTTTAAGAAAACTGAATTTTACTGAGTAGAACTTATTTAATTTTAATTTTACTGAACTGAAATTAATTTCATTGAACTGAACTTAACTTTAATGAGCTGAAATTATTTTTACTTAATATTATTTTTTTAAGGTGAAGAGAACAGGGCCTTATTGATGATTAAAGATATTATCGGTTAAATTTTCCATTGGATACATGTCTTAAGAGAAACATTCTACATTTGTAATTTTTTTTTTTTAAAAAAAGGGGATATCTAAATGAATTAAGTAAAAGTAAAATATTTCCGTAAAAAAAAAATAAAAAAAAAATTGTTTTGTAATATAAGAAGTATTTTCAAGGCTATATTCTAAAATAAGAAGATCAAAAAGATGATCTTGTGACAATGAAAGAGTATGGTGTGTCGTGATGCAAATCACTGACTTGAAAACGAAATTTCGGCGCAACCGGGGTGCACTATTGTATTCGCCGGCACATTCCCTAAGGTTAACACACCACTTCCACACAAAGACACTTTTGGGTGGAAAGTTGGAGCCAAGTAACTTATGCCCAATATAGAATATGTGTTTAAGCAAGCTTGTGGTTGATATGTATTTCTTGTGTATATCAAAATCAGAATAACATCCTCCAATTTATAGAGATGAATAATAGAAGAAGATGAAAGATCATGGAGGAAACTTCTATGAACAAGGAAAAGAAATCAGAAATATTATAGTGATTAAAACACCATAATCAACCTCTTAAATGGGGGATTACAAGAAATCAAACAAGAAGAGGAATCCAAGGGAACCGTTGGAGTCCAACGGACAAACACGCGCCCGATCAGGCGGACACTCCCTTTTTTCCAGACGTCTTCTCGTGCCCGGTCGGGCGAGTCTCGCCCGGTTGGGCGCCCGATCGTGCGGATCTTGCCTGATCGGGCGGCGGAACTCCAGAATTTTACGACTCTTCTTGCGCCCGATCGGGCGGGTCTCGCTCAGTCAGGCGCTCGATCGGGTGCCCATATCTGACCCTTTGAATTTCCTTTCTTTATTTCCAACAATCCCCCACTAAAGGAAGGGAAGAAAAGCTAACAAAAGATGAGGATAAACAACATATTGGGCATAAGAGGAGATCAATACATAACACTTAGATATTACATAAGTAATTTGAAATCTAGTGCTTAGTGAAATGAGACAATGAATTACAAGTATAAGGGTGGACAAACCTTGAAACCCTTAGACCCTTGATCAAGGAGTAGACTAACCTTGAAACTCCAAGATTTAATTCAAGACCCCCACATCACATACCTTTCTCCAAAAATTTACTTGAACTCCGCAAAGAGATATGCTCTTTTATAGCGAAGCATATTCACCTTAGGTCTAGTGGAAGCTCTAGGAAATCCGCCCAAGTTTTCAATAGAAGATAGCTAGTCTTCAAAACCACACAGGTGAATCACAAGCACTTCTCAAAAGTACTTAGTCAACGGGGTTAAAACATGTTCATAAGAACTCAACAAATTCTACATTGTAGCCATTTACCCCCACATGACCATGGTTTCATTAAGAGCTTAACGCTCAACCTCACAATAATCATAAACAACGGTGATCCAAAGTTTTAGTGTGTCCACCCAAACAATTAGATTCATTAAGAGTCAAAGGACTCAACCTCAAACGGTGGATCAATCAAGTGCATCTCTAATAGCACTAACCAAAAATGGTTTATTGATCCATTAAGAACTCAAAAGAGTCTAGCCTCAAACAAGCATTACAACACATTCCATAGGGATAGGAAAGTAATGCTTTTCCACATGGGCTTAAGGCCTATCCCCCTCGACATTTCCACAAATTATCAAGGATTATGTTACATTATCAAGGATTATGTTACATGTCCCAAATTTCCTTACCATAGTGCAAAATTATATTGCTAGAATATTTTTTCTAATAAGGAAAACTAGCATGTTTTCAACATCAACTTAACTTTCACAGATGGTTAGAAAAATATATCACTTAGTTTTCACCATTAGATGAATAAGTAATAAGACAACGAACCCAAGACTTGAAATTTCAAAACCTTAATCAAGTTCAATACTTGAAAATAACATAGCCGCATTAGTGAACTTTCTTCATCAACCATCAATCACTAACACTTGCCTTCCAAAAAATCTGAACAAATTTTCCCGAAAGCTAGTGTATTTCACACCCTTCGTACCTAAAAATATACTTAGTAGAAGATGAAGTAAATTTAAGCAACGTTAGTCATTCACTATTAGATTTGTAAAATATTGCACTTCAACTATTTCACAAACATATGCTGTGTTAAAATAAAATGCAATGCATGTCACTATCACATTGCTAAATGTATTAGCATACTTCAATCAAGACATACTTTAAGACCTCTTTAAATTACACACATAATTCATGTTAAAACATACTCCACTCAGATGATAACATGAACAACAAATATCATATAATCGCATAAATCTTTCCAATCACAAAACATGTATGACACTTTGGAAAAAGCCAAAAACTCATAATAATCATTATTATTCAGAAAATAATAAAACATATTGTCATAATCCAAATCGTGAAAATTGCTCAACAAAATTGAAAAAATAAGAAGTTCAAGAAAGTTTTTAACTACAAATCATATGTGATTCTCAACACCACCACATTACTCACATTGTAGAAATAGCACAAAAATATATATTACCTTGAAGCAAGTAGTAAGAAACAAACTTAATCACAAGTATTAGATTCTCACAAGGTACGAACCACACTTTTGTACCACTCCCTAGGTAATAATCTTAAGTCAGCTCATACTTGAGCTTATAACTCACACTTGAACTTCCAATTCACACTTCTTATCTTTAACATGGAACTCACCAACCAACCCACTTAAGTCATCACTTAAAAGGCTTAACAAACTTCAACCACTAGAGGGTATCATCAAAGACTAAAGATCCAAAATAATTAAGTCATCCAAGTAAGTCTTACATCGTTCCATTAAGACAAGAAAGACAAAGTCACCTTTACTCACAAATTTATCCTTGATCATTTCCAACAACACTTAGTGAATTAACATTGAAAAGACTTTAGAAGAAATATTAGGAAACACACTCCATAAAAAGATAGGAGAACTCTAGGCAAGTTAGAAATTATCTAACTTATCCTCAATAGTTTCTTCCAAATTAACCAATCACTCACGTCATCAATTCATTAAGTTAAGAAAACACTCTTCACACATTGCATAGAGAAACCAAATCAAGACAAATAATTGATAGTCTTTGGCATAACTAGTCACTTTCTGCTTTGCATCAAATAGAAGAAAAACTCAAAATGATGCCTCTTATTACTCTTATAGTCAAATTGTTTACTCAATAAACAAAATAAATGCATATATGGGAATATAGCAATCAAGAGACATGAGAATTTCATATGCATAGCCAATCATTCAAACATGACATAATGCATAGAATTGCTAAAAACAAATTATTAAAGTAAAGGAGATAATTCAGTTGTGATGCATGGAGATTGTCAAATATTATGGTACATGGAGATAATCCAATAATCCAACAATCATATACAATAATCCAACATTGTGGTATATGGAGACAATCCAACATTCACAAACAAAGTCATGGAGCATACTAACGATTGCTTAAAAAGCAAATTCAAAATATCAAATAAACCAAGACTTTGAGTCCAACATTTATTCTCATATACTTTTCCCCACATTGGACGATAGAAGTCTTCAACTTAAGTATTGAAATTAGACATGGTAAACTCTATTATTTTCACATGGGGCATATAAGGACTAAATTCCT